CAAGCACCCAGCCCTAAACCCTAACCCCTAAACCCTAAACCCTAAACCCTAAACCCTAAACCCTGAACCGTATACCCCAAACCCTACACCCTAAACCTTAAACCCTATATCCCAAACCCAAAGCTCCTAGCTTCGTGGTTCTCAGTCTACTATACGTCTCACGGCAAGTCGAAAAGCCCTGAACCGCAGTCCGGACGGGAAGTGGAGTGTGGGGGTTTAGGGTTTAGGATTTAGGGGTTTGGGTTTGGGGTTTAGGGTTTTGGGTTTAGGGTTTTGGGTTCAGGGTTCAGGGTTTTGGGTTTAGGGTTTAGGGTTTAGGGTTCAGGGTTTTGGCTTTTGGGTTTAGGGTTTATAGGGTTTAGCGGTTTAGGGTTTTGGGTTTAGGGTTCCGGGTTCAGGGTTTAGGGTTTAGGGTTTTGGGTACTACATAGTGAGGCTCATCGTTCTTGAATGAAATCCTCTTGGGTGTGCGGGGATTGGCTGCCCGCAGACTTTCCCCTAATTAAGGTAGTGCGGATCCTGAAAGAAACGACGCTGAAACAAGGATACCTGTACTGAGCCGCCCACTAGGAATTCCCAGTAAGCGCCCCTCAACGAAGGGCTATTCCTAAACATGGGCCCTATCCATGGATACAGAGTCTCCGGCTCTGGTCGGTGCCGCACGGTACTGCAATGCTTGGCTCGTGGCACACAGGGAGAGAGAGTCGCACTCGACTCTAGTGCCACCACCGAAACGTAAGCCGCAATGCAGCAAAGCCCCTAAACCCTCTAATTGCAAACCCGAACCCCGAACCCTCAGCCCCAGTCATGAACCCTGAACCCTGAACTACCCCCCGAACTTCTTACTTCGAGCTCCGACGCTGAGTCTCCCCCCCTTGTTCGGTAGCAGGGATGGCGTAAAGCCCTGTGCTAGAAGGGCGGGACTTAATTTACATCCCAGTGCTGCGAGTCCGGAGCAAACGAATCCTGTATCCAATGATCTACTAAACCCTAAGTGCCATATATCCAAACCCCCAAAACCCTAAAGTGCTGAAGGTGCATTCAACCCTAACCTACAAACTCCAAATCCATGTGCCCATGGTTTCTTTCCGAAAGCGCGCCTGTGCTTTCTTCGACGCAAGCTGTGCTAAGCGAGCGCGGTCACTCCTGGAGACCCATCCACGAGGTACTTGCTGCTGTATATGGGTAGTCCTCTAAATGGAGGTCCCAGATTGCCCTTTTTTATGAGGGTGCCGTACTATAGTGGGGACCAAAAGAAGGACCCTAAGTTGGAGAACTACCCATTTTTGCTTGTTGTGGCCACTTGGTATTATTGTTGCTTGGGGTACATCTGGTTCGTTATCCAGCCTACTATAGCAGGCTTCTTCCTTTTAATGTAGCTTCGGAGTTTCGTAGAAACGGATGTTTCGAGGCTCTTGCGATTGATTGGAGATTCGGCTGTTCTGCGTTAATATTCGAGCGTACTTGTCTGCTGCGTGGGCTTTAGGGGTCGGCTGTTTGGTGGTGTCTAGCAGGCAGGGCCTGGAGGTGTTATGGTGCGAAAAAGCATACGGGGCCTCAATTCCCGAGCTTGAAACTTGTATAAATCCTGACCCCAAAGCCCGTACCCACAGAACACGAGCCCTTGACACGGAAAGCCTCAGCAACCGAAAGCACAACCAACCCGAGACTCGACAGATACCTTCCGAAGTCTCAGGCCCCAAAGCCACATAAACTACGTAGCTCCATGCCCGAAAGCGAAACTCGGCAAGTGGTGATTAGCAAGTGCAGGTACCCTGCTGTTCCCTTCGCCGCGACTCAGAAGCGCTAGATTGGTTCAGGTTTCCAGGATTCGCACCGCGACTACTTGCAAACGAATCGGTGGGCGGACGATACTACCGGAAACTCGCACGACAAGCAGTCAAGCCTTGAAATCATCATCATCATCATCATTACCACCACAACCATCGTCATCACCACCACCATCATCATCATCATCATCATCAGCGGCACCACCATCATCATCACCACCATCATCATCATCATCATCATTATGATCATCACCATCACCATCAACATCACTAGCACCACCATCATCATCGTCATCATCGTCATCACAGCATCAGCACCGTCATCGGCAAGTCTGTTTCTATGGCCACTGCCGTCGGCACCGTGGTAAACAGTATCGCCAGCCTCATCAAAGCCATGCGCTGAAGAAGAAGTGGCTCGCAGTCTTGTCACTACGGCTCTTGTCCGTGGTTTGCGAAAACAAGGCTGTCATCTTCAAGAGTGAGCAGCATGCGTGTAGACATCGGTATACAATGTGTAAGCTTATATGACCTATGTGTACATAGAGATACAGTAGGCCATGAGACCATTCTGATCCAGAATCCTTCGCCTAAGCACCCTAGCCTGGCGTTTTAGCCCACAACCCCCCAAAAAGTTCTTGGCTATAAATAAAGGCTACACCCAATGCTCTAAGCACATAGACGCTACACAGAGAATCCCTAAAGGCCTAAACTCTACACCATGAAGCCCATAAGCCCATAAGCCCCTAAGGCCCTAAAGCCTAAACTCTAAACCCAAAGCCAGCTCGCTGGCACGAAAAGGGGGGCTATTGCGCTTTAAAAAAACCCAAAGCCCCAAGCCCTCAGGATCGGAGATGCTGTTGTAGGCACCGACGAGGAGCACAACCTTATCTGCCGTGCCGGAGACATCTTGACTTCAAGGCTCTGAAGTCTTCTGATGAGGGTTTAGGGTTAGTTTGGGGTTTGGGGCGAAAAGGGTCTCGGGGTGAAGGGTTTAGGGGTGGACAAGGTTTGGGGTCTAGGGTTTAGGGCCCTTAGGGTTTGGGGCTTTAAGGTTTGGTCTGAGGGTCCCAGGGCTTGGCTGGAAGCATCCCATCTTTGAAGACTTCAACCCATGTGTGTGATCCCTAGTACGCAGCCTTTGTAACTACTTTGAACATTTTCCTGTCCCTATGAAGTTACAATGTACTTTCGCTCGATGCTTTATGCCAATGCTTTAGGGGCAGTTTTTTTTGATAGATCCCCTTATGCCCACAACCCACAAGCCCTGATTTGAGACTGTAGACATGGATCCATGACCCACCCTTACGCTCTCAGGAGGACCACGTGTGCCGGTTTTTTGAGGGGGATGATTTGGCACATGAAGCTGCTGGGTCCGTTTTTTTTTCAGGCTCATATGGGTATCCGGTCAGAATTTAGTGTTTCTGGTTTACGGTTGACGGTTCAGGGTTTTGGGCCACTCACATCTGACCCCAGATGCTAGAACTCTGAAACCCTACAAATACCAATCGATGCTTCTGTAGCCGTGTGTGGCCCCACCCTAGGCCCTAGACTCCACACTGTCTGCGTTGTGGAGCGCTGAGAGGTCCAGCGGCCAATCATTTCAACTGCTGCAAGCGATTGGCTACGGTGCTCCTGCGGCCACATGTTTAGGCATGTATAGGATTTGTCTTTTATTGTGATTCTGCTGACTTTCGGAGCCCTTCGTGATAGTTATTTCGACGTTAGGAATTTTAGGGTTGCTGGTGTGCCTAGACCCTAAACCCGTAGTGGCGCTTCTAGTTGCAGCGTCTGGCCCAGTTTTCCTTAGGCGCCTTTGGCCGCGTGGCGCGAGCACGTTCCACAAACGGGCAGCGAGTGGCATTGAAGATTCTGAAGCACAAAGAGTCACTTGGACATCGATTTGAGAGGTGCGGAGTTGATTTTTAGGTTTTAAGCTTGATGCAACATGTTTCGTTTTTTTTTTTGGGGTTCCTGGCTTGTGCGCTTCAGTTTGATGCCAGCTTCTTAGATTGGGTTTAGGAAGTTCGTGGCAAAGACTACCAAATTGGAACGAGGGTTCTCCAAGACTACTGCCAAATAGTGGGGTGACCTGGGTGATACAGGAATCGTACCACATGTTTCGGAGGAGCAATGAATATCCGAGCCCTGTGCCCTGCACCGCCTCCTTTCACTATATAGCTATGTACTGCTGCAGCCCAAGCCCGACTCGAATTCTCAAGCCCCCTATGTTAAAGTTTGAACCCTGAAACCCCCAAAGCCCTAAACCCTAAACGCGACCCTGAACCCATCATCTTCCTGGCTCCACGTCTGTTTGGGGATTTCAAGATTTAGGGCGGATTTGGCATTGGAGCTTTGAGTTGAATATCAGGAGGGTTGGCAAGTAATTAGCCTTCAAGCAAAGCTTCAGCGTTTAACGACCCCAGTGGGCCGGTCCTAGTTCTAGTCCCCTTGGCCAGTGTGAAGTCTTCTCCAAGCCCCAAGATGTGGCCTAGAAAGAATATTTAGATTTAGATTTAAACTTGGAACAGCAAGAAGGCCTGCATCCTCGCTCATTGATTGCATCAATACAGAAGCATGAATGCTTAACTGAGAGTAGCACCCCCTTAAGCCCCCAATCCAAGTACAGTACAACATATCCCACAACCCTGTTGAAGTTGCTTTTGGCCCCTATGTTGTTACTCTGCATAAACAATCTGCAGACCTATAGAGGCCTTGTAAACGCTTTTTAACACCCTTGAAACACCAGAAACCCTCAATCCCAAGACTCTCCTCGCCAGCTCGCCGCTAAGCCGATAAAGGCCATCAGAGCACCTTATAGCTTACTGGTTTTTTCAAGAAACATAATGGGGATCTGTAGTAAGTCATACGGTTTCTGGATTTTTGATTTAACTTCGGCTCCTTAACGAGAACCGGAGGTATTGCGCGGAAGTTTGCCTGGAAGCGGAGCAGGAAGTGAGGAGCGCACTTCAAGTCATGGTCAAAGGGGGGAGAGGTGGGAAGTAGGGTATATTTGGGTAGTTCTCTAATTAGGGTCCCTGTGTAGGTCCCCAACATAGTACGGCACCCTTATAAAAGGGACCCCGCGAAAAGGGACCCTACTTAGAGAACTGCCTTTAAATATAGGGGTTTAGGGCTTGAGGGTTTAGGCTTTTTGGCCCTTGGTGGGTGGCCTACAGTCGCGAGGATCCTCGCCCGCCTGGACCATCCACACATCGCTCCTCGATCTGCTTTTCGAAGAGAAGTTCGGCATTCATCCTAAACCCTAAACCCTAGAACCGGATTTCGGGTTTTATGGTTCCGGTTTCGAGGGGTTTTCGGATTTCTGGGGGGCACTGCTATGCTTCGCGGGTTGCAGGGTCGGGGGGTTGAGGATTTTGAGCCTGAGGGTTCAGGGTCTCAGAATCCCCGAAAGTCCTAAATTACACTGTGCTTTAAGCCCAAAACCCCAAGACTCAAGCCCCAAACCCTAACCCTCTCTAATCCTTAAGCCCAAGCCCTACCCTTCAACCCTACTTGGAGGATCATGGAACTTTGTAAGTCAGGAGTAATTGCCCTACTTAAGGGTATTAAGTCATTATGAACATAGTCGCCGTATTCATGATTGCCCGTACTGTAAATGTACTCCTGAACCCCAAACTCTAAACCCCTTAGAAACCCGAAGAGCTGGGACCCTAAACCTCCCAAAACGGGCCCGAAGGTTAGCCTGGTCGACTACTTCGAGTTCCAGGGCCATCTCTGCACCTCCTTTTAAAGGGGCCCCTTATAAGGGCTCCAGGGCTTCGGGGTGTTCCTTCTGTAGAGAAAGAAAAGCTTCAGGGCAGAGGCTTCGGGCCTGGGATTTGGACGACTTTTGCTTTGGTCTTGCATTCTGCCGTTAAGATCTTTCCTAAGGAGGTATTGAGGTGTTTAGGAACAGGTTGTGTCTTAGGCGTGGGGGGGGGGGGGGGGGGGGNNGGTTGCGCTCCTCCGTTTCGAGCTTAGGGTTTAGGATGAGGTTCGCTAGGGGATGAGTAAGTTTACGTCGAAGATGCCCCGCTTCTGTGGAGATCTTTAAGCAACACTTGACGAATGGTCGGGCCAGATTGACTCAATAATCCATTCGATCCAACAAAGTCTGATTGGTAGATCACATGTAGTGTGGTGTGATGTGCACATTTCTCGCTTGTTTCGCCTGGCCCTTGCAATCCGTAAATATTTAAGATCCTAAGATCCTTGTTTTTAACTGGGATCCTCCCCTTTTGCCTGAAACCCAAAGGAAAGAGTAGTTTGGAGCAGCAAACCGAGGCGTGCCATGACAGGAAATTGGTCAGGCAAATGCAAGTAGTGGCGAGCAGGTGTGAATGTCAGTCAGAGGTGATAAAGAATGCGAAGTTTAGAGAGAAACTCCTAAACCCTAAACTCCTTGGCGCTAAACTCCTAAACTCCTAAGCCCTCTGTTTTTGGTACTTACGACACCTTCTCGAGGCAGAACCCTTAATCCGAGACTTGTTGGAAATACTTTTACTCATGAACTCCTTCCCGAGGCGCGAGAGCCCCAAAGCCTAAACCCAAAGGAACCCCAAACCCGAATCCTATCCTCAAACTTAAACTATCTAAAAACCCCAAAGAATCCTGCTCCCTAAACCCTAGCCCTACACAGTTGCCTTTGTTTACTTGTTCTTCTTGTTTTGCTTTTCACTCCTCAGGCATTGCCATGGAGCTGCTGGGGCCGAACCTCTACGAGCGG